AAACATTTTTGTAAGCATTGGTGACGACGATTTAAAAAATTTAAGTTTCCCAGCACTAATACAACACCGATTCACAGTATTTTCCCCGGTTATATAAACTCAAGAACACTCATTGCACTTGCGATTAATTAAACAGGTTAAGTAAGGCACAACGTTTCTAATCTCACTTGGTTTGGATGTGCTAACAATACTTGATCGGAAATGGTTGCGGTATTTGTAAACAACTTTTAATGTAAACATATCAGTGACAGCTAGAAGTGAGAACTAATCCAAACAGCTGATCGTTATTTCATAAAATGTAATAGAAACAAGAAAAAATTGGGAGAAATTGTTCATTGGGAGAAAATTTGACAAAAATCAAACAAAATTGGGTTTTTGATGGTTCGTTATTTTGTTTTCAAAGAAGCGAGGCCATGTTTTTATAGCCCAAGACACTCTCACCAATCCAGTAAATACAGAAAAATGATTAGAACCTTGATCGGAACTCTAGTTTCCTAGGAGTAAGCCGCGTAAAATGACAATTTGGCGTTACAGACAGAGTCACAGAATGGACAGACAGATATACAGACAGAAATTGAGATAAGAGTCGTTTCGGCTTTCTTAGGCTATGAAACGTAAAAATAACCAAAAACTGCACGATTCTAAGCAATGTACAGACAAAACTGTAATTTTATTTATATAGATTTAAATATAATTAGTTTAACAAGTACTTAGGTTTGCTGCATCAGGGAGGTAAAACAGTTTTTTTTTATGTTAATAGTTAGTAAGAAATAAAAACATTTTTCAAATTTGATCAAAATATGTTCATAAACAAGCAAACTACAACAGTTTACTTATTCTCCATAAGAATAACATGGGAATTTTAAATTTACAATTTTTTGGAATTTTCTCCGTAACCATTTGGCGCATAATAACGCTTCAATATACTAAATTATTTGTTTTTTTAAGCTCTACAAAATGGTTTGGAAAGAAATTGCTAAATTTTATGTTTTTTGGGTCAAAAATGCAAAAAATCTATCGACCTCGAAACAAAACAAAAAATCGGTCCCGCGTCCAGGTCTTACCATGAGTACTACGGTAATAGCTTATTCCCTATATGGGAAATTCGCTAAAAACATACAACTTACTAACAGGTAGCAGTCTAACAAAATGTAAAATCTTTATTATTGGTAACTGCTTAATGTGCACTGGAACAATACATTTGAGCGCTTGCTCCTGCAGATGCTCAATTTTCCTCAGACAAGTCTTTGAAGCATTGCCCCATGCTCTCACACCATATCTTAAAATTGATTCACACAGTGGACTGGTAAATCACCAATAGAACATTAAATGGCAGGACACTTTTTAAATAAAAAATTTTGCAAACGCATGTCCTGATTTTTTTACAAACATAATTAACATGTATATCCCATTTAAAATTGTGGTCAACATGAACCCCTAAATATTTAAAATCATGCACATTCTCTAAAACTCTTACATTGACAACGTTTTGGGATAAGTGAGTAAGTATGATTATGTAAACAATCAAAATTATGGTAAGTAATGCTTACATTATAACATTTAAATGCAGGTGAATGCACATGCATGACCTTGGACTTTTTGTAATTTATTATCAATCCATAGTCATGACACCATTCTAAAAGGTTGTTAACAGCATTCTGCATATTTTTTTCTGCCTCTATTATATTTTTGTTTGATACGACAATTGCAGTGTCATCAGCGTACATAAAAACCGTGGCTTCTTTTATATATTTTGGGAGTGTATTTGCATATATTATATATAAGATTGGGCCCAAAATACTTCCTTGAGGTACCCCGAACTCAATGCTGGTTTGCAAACTCATTCAAGTTTATCCTGCCTTACGCCTTTGAACCAAATTTCATCAAAATCGGACAAAAATTACTTAAGTTATCGCGTTCACGGACGTATATATATATATACATATATAAAAATTTGAACGAATGGTGTTTTTGGCCTCTGGGGACATCAAAATGAAAAATTAAATCGGTCCCGGGCCTAGGTCTTACCGTGCCACCTACGGTAATAGCTACTTCCCTATAGGGAAATTCGCTAAATTCCCTATAGGGAAATTCGCTTAATAGCTACTTCCCTATAGGGAAATTTGCTAAATTCCCTATAGGGAAATTCACTAAATACTTCCCTATAGGGAAATATGCTAAATACTTCCCTATAGGGAAATTCGTTAAATACTTCCCTATAGGGAAATTCGCTAAAAAACACTTTTTTTACCCCCCCCCCTGTTGCAGCAAACCTAAGTATTTGTTAAACTAAATATATTTAAATAGGGAATAATACCCCCGCCGCAGCAAACCTGCAGACTAAGCGAATTTCCATTTGCCTGATTTGGTTTTCAATTAAATCTATTCAAATAACATTAGGTTTAACGAGTACCTAGGTTTGCTGCCTACAGGGTAATAAAGTGTGTTTTTAAGTAAAATATTAACAGCTTAGTATAAAATAAATCGATTGGCCAAGTTTGATCCAAATATATGCATAAACAAGCAAACTACAAAAGTTTACTTATTCTCCATAAGAATAACATGGGCATTTTTAATTTATAATTTTCTCCGTAGCCAATAACCATACAAAAACACTTCAATATATTGAATTATTTGTTTTTTTAAGCTCTTCAAAATGGTCTAGAAGAAATTTGGGAAATTTTATGTTTTGAGGGTCAAAAATGAGAAAAACCAATTTTTACCCCATAAATCCCCCCATAAAACCCCGTTCCCATGGTCCGATCATGCTGGCTCGCGAACTCGTTCGAATAAACGTAGGTTTACACGTTTTTTACCAAATTTCATCGAAATCGGATCATTTTTGCTCGAGTTATCGTGCTGACGGACACATATATATATATAAATATATAAATATATATATATAAATATATAAATATATATATATATGAATTTGAACGGATGGTGTTTTTGGCTTCTAGGAACATCAAAATGAAAAAGTAAATCGGTCCCGGGACTAAGTCTTACCATGAGACCTACGGTAATAGCTTATTCCCTATAGGGAAATTCGCTAAAATGTGATATTTTTAAGGAGACATTTTAATGTAAATCCAATCAGGCAAATGGAAATTCGCTAAGTCTGCAGGTTTGCTGCGGCGGTTGTATGTTTGTTTATGTAATAGTAATTATTTAATCTTTTGTTGTATGATGCAGCAGCCTTGACTATCCAGTGACATGAAGGGGAGCAGATTGCACAGAGGGCCAAAATACCTAGCTTCTCCTCTGAGTTTTCTAACCTTCCATGTTATCTGACCCTCCTTGTGAACGATTACTACTTATGTGTTGTATTACTAAATGATATCAATTACGTCATCTTGGACCATCGCCCCACCTATTTTAAAAAGACATTCACAACATCTATAAACTTGATTGTACTTTTTTATTGTAGCCTACATATTAACACGCTGCATCCTACACAGTTAGTCAACTCCTCATGCATGAAATATACATACCCCTCTGCTACACCTCAATAATCTGTCTTGAAACTAACCAAATGAATAGTGCAAATATTTTTTAAATTCTTTTCTAGTTGTGTAAATTCAGTTATAAGTTCAAAGTTTTTCACTAAATTTTAAGAGTCGGCAGGACCACCGGCCATCTTGGATTATCTGCCCATAAGGGCAATGTTAATGGTTGAAGCATATTACGTCATTGTTTATTAAGATAAAAAGTTGCAAATTATCTCATTTTAAAGCTATTGAAACCGTGAATGTGATTTGCTATCTACTTTTTAATTTTATTGTTATTATTTTGTCAAACTACATAAATATATTGACTTAAACAGTGATTTTTTCAACCTCTAAAACAGGAGTTTTAAAAATCCGAAAAGCAATTCACATGGAAAATATATTTAAGAATCACATACAATTTTCTGCTCGGTAATCAAAAGCTTACGGTGCATGATTAATATGCTTCTACGTGAACATATGTTTTTACTGATCAGCGCTAGGACAACCATTGTTTAGCCTGGCATCTGACAGTCAACAACAATGATTGAAGTGGCTCCACACTTTTGTTAAAAAAAAGTGTGTTGGATGGCCACCTATACTGGCCGTACGAGCTGACGGGGAAATTAGTAGTGGCCAGCAGTGCTGGCCGTACGACCTGTGAGGCACGGCACCGTGTAAACATGACAAGCTGATATAGAACGTAGCAGTGTCCAGCAGGGCTGGCCATTCGAGTTGAGAGGCACTTTTCTAAAATGGCTATGAGACCGCAAAGGGTTAAAAGAGTCAACTCAAAGATTATGTAATAAATCAGTCCACTCCAGTTATCTAAACTGGAAACGAACTCACTCTGAAAACAAACGCTCTTATGTGTGTATCATGTGTTTACTATGAACAGCTGTAATTAATACGAATAATTCGTCTGTTTAAGTAAACAAAATCTTTTCTTCATAAGAAATACATTGGGATTCTTATGGCCTGTGGGGCAAAGCCCGAGGACTTTTACTACATGATTTGGTGAAAGGGGGCGTCTACATAAAAAATACTTAATTTTGACACATCGTTTGTAAAAATCCGTCCATTATTAACGGAGGGGTAGTGTTTCGCAGAAATCGCCTTCACGTATTATATATAAGGATTTGGAGTGATAAATATAATACTGTGGAAACAAGACAAACAATAAGAAAACAGTACATGTGATGGACGTATGATAGAGCTAGGAACAAAGATAAATAAATAGTACCTACATTGAAATGGGATACCTAATAATACATAATTATTTAATACTGATATAAGGTGTAATTTGCTAGAACTTTATGCTTGAAAGATGCAATCGACTCATTAAAGAAGTCTAGATGAGATGCAGCATCGCTTCCAATCCTCAGCTATAACGTGATAGTCCAGTATGGTAAATCTGTACAAATGATTGATTGTGGAATGTTTGCCAGATTCACTGGGAGGACAGCTCTCATGCAGGCTGCAGCAGACGGAAAGTTGGAGGTGGCTACTGTACTACTAGAGAGAGGAGCCAGCTGGCTGACACAGGACAGGTAGTGTACTGATTGTTGTTCCTAGATCAATGTTTGTCAGATTCACTGGGAGGACAGCCCTGGTGTAGGCTTCAGCAGACAGCCAGGTGGAGGTGGCTACTGTACTACTAGAGGAGCCAGCTGGCTGACACAGGACAGGTAGTGTACTGATTGTTGTTCCTAGATCAATGTTTGTCTGATTCACTGGGAGGACAGCCCTGGTGTAGGCTTCAGCAGACAGCCAGGTGGAGGTGGCTACTGTACTACTAGAGGAGCCAGCTGGCTGACACAGGACAGGTAGTGTACTGATTGTTGTTCCTAGATCAATGTTTGTCTGATTCACCGGAAGGACAGCCCTGATGTAGGCTTCAGCAGACAGCCAGGTGGAGGTGGCTACTGTTCTACTAGAGAGATGAGCCAGCTGGCTGACACAGGATAGGTAGTGTACTGATTGTTGTTCCTAGATCAATGTTTGTCTGATTCACTGGGAGGACAGCCCTGGTGTAGGCTTCAGCAGACAGCCAGGTGGAGGTGGCTACTGTACTACTAGAGAGAGGAGCCAGCTGGCTGACACAGGACAGGTAGTGTACTGATTGTTGTTCCTAGATCAATGTTTGTCTGATTCACTGGGAGGACAGCCCTGGTGTAGGCTTCAGCAGACAGCCAGGTGGAGGTGGCTACTGTACTACTAGAGGAGCCAGCTGGCTGACACAGGACAGGTAGTGTACTGATTGTTGTTCCTAGATCAATGTTTGTCTGATTCACTGGGAGGACAGCCCTGGTGTAGGCTTCAGCAGACAGCCAGGTGGAGGTGGCTACTGTACTACTAGAGGAGCCAGCTGGCTGACACAGGACAGGTAGTGTACTGATTGTTGTTCCTAGATCAATGTTTGTCTGATTCACTGGGAGGACAGCCCTGGTGTAGGCTTCAGCAGACAGCCAGGTGGAGGTGGCTACTGTACTACTAGAGGAGCCAGCTGGCTGACACAGGACAGGTAGTGTACTGATTGTTGTTCCTAGATCAATGTTTGTCTGATTCACCGGAAGGACAGCCCTGATGTAGGCTTCAGCAGACAGCCAGGTGGAGGTGGCTACTGTTCTACTAGAGAGATGAGCCAGCTGGCTGACACAGGATAGGTAGTGTACTGATTGTTGTTCCTAGATCAATGTTTGTCTGATTCACTGGGAGGACAGCCCTGGTGTAGGCTTCAGCAGACAGCCAGGTGGAGGTGGCTACTGTACTACTAGAGAGAGGAGCCAGCTGGCTGACACAGGACAGGTAGTGTACTGATTGTTGTTCCTAGATCAATGTTTGTCTGATTCACTGGGAGGACAGCCCTGGTGTAGGCTTCAGCAGACAGCCAGGTGGAGGTGGCTACTGTACTACTAGAGGAGCCAGCTGGCTGACACAGGACAGGTAGTGTACTGATTGTTGTTCCTAGATCAATGTTTGTCTGATTCACTGGGAGGACAGCCCTGGTGTAGGCTTCAGCAGACAGCCAGGTGGAGGTGGCTACTGTACTACTAGAGGAGCCAGCTGGCTGACACAGGACAGGTAGTGTACTGATTGTTGTTCCTAGATCAATGTTTGTCTGATTCACCGGAAGGACAGCCCTGATGTAGGCTTCAGCAGACAATCAGGTGGAGGTGGCTACTGTTCTACTAGAGAGATGAGCCAGCTGGCTGACACAGGATAGGTAGTGTGATTGTTGTTCCTAGATCAATGTTTGTCTGATTCACTGGGAGGACAGCCCTGGTGTAGGCTTCAGCAGACAGCCAGGTGGAGGTGGCTACTGTACTACTAGAGGAGCCAGCTGGCTGACACAGGACAGGTAGTGTACTGATTGTTGTTCCTAGATCAATGTTTGTCTGATTCACCGGAAGGACAGCCCTGATGTAGGCTTCAGCAGACAATCAGGTGGAGGTGGCTACTGTTCTACTAGAGAGATGAGCCAGCTGGCTGACACAGGATAGGTAGTGTGATTGTTGTTCTTAGATTAATATTTTTGTCAGATTCACACTTGAAGGACAGTCCTTTTAGGCTGCAGCAAATGGCCAGGTTAAGGTAACTACTATACTATTTTTTTTATGTCCCACCTTTACATCCTAGGATGCTTGGTTCTAGCCTGCAACTGTTTTACACATTACTGCAGGCTAGTCCTAGAGGGTCGCGGCATGATCACACAGATAAATGTTTTTTGGCGGGATTTGAACCTGGGATTTGGGGCACCGAAAACTCTCGCTCTACTACTAGACTAGCTTGCTCCCAGCTGTACTACACAGGACAGGTAAAGAAACATGCCAATAGTCAGTTTAGAATAAGTTATATTTGGTTAATATTGTTCATGGAAAGGATAATTGCTTTACAGAGTTGGATGTACTGCTGTCCACTATGCTGTGGATACTTCTCAAATAGCAATCGTGGACCTGGCTGTTGCTAGTGGAGCAAACCTTGACATTCAAGATAACTGTGGCTGGACACCACTTGTCAGAGGAGGCAAGTATAGGTCATGCTTTGCCAATTATTCTTATAAAGCTCTTTTGTCCTACTGCAGCAAATACGGCTGTCTTCAATACAGTACATGCATTGCAGGTGCAAAGTAGTGCCTCTTTTTCTCCCTAGGGCAAAAAAGAATCAGCTTGAGTCAATGACATCGGCTGTAAATTTGTCTGTTGATGTTCCTGAATGAAATTGTTCCAATTAATAAATTTATAATCGTATCAAATATTTTGTTTGTGTTTATTATCGTTTTATATTGTATATTTCACTTCTGTAGAAAGTAAATAAAAGAATCGTCTTATAACACTTAAAACAATTTACCCTTATACTGTTTCTCACAAGACGGTAAATATACAAAAAAGATGGTAAGTGGTTAGTCAAGACCACTTACTATCTTTTTTGTACAGGGTTAGGCAAAAGTCTGGAACCCCTCAGTTAACTTTTTAATGCGTTGCAGTAGGAAAACCAAACTCGGCACATATTTACAACATAAGAAATTGCACTTTTTAATCATAGTTACAACTTTGCCCCAGCCCTTAAAATGGGGTATTTTCGGGGCAGTCCCAAATTTTCAAATGTAAACACCTATCATATGACCCCTCATTTTAAAGGGTTTCTCAAGACAAATTGAATGGCGCAAACTAGAGGTCAATATCGCACCCCCAATTAAAATGGCAGTCATTTTGAAATATATATACCATATTAACTTTTTAACAGGTTATAGCAGGAAAACTAAACTCAGCATACCTTTATCAAAAAGAGGATTCACCTTTTGGTCAGTATTAAAATATTAAATTTTTAAAGTTAACTGGGGGTGTCCAGACCTTATCTTGCTTGCTCATCTTAAATAATTAAAATGGCTACAATATTGACCTCTGGTTTGTGCTATTCAATTTCTCTACATAAACCCTTTAAAATGAGGGGTCACAAGCTAGGTGTTTACATTTGAAAATTTGGGGCTGCCCCAAAAATACCCCATTTTGGGGGCTGGGACAAAGTTGTAACTTTGATGAAAAAGTGCAATTTCTTATGTTGTTAATATTTGCCGAGTTTGGTTTTCCTACTGAAACGCGTTAAAAAGTTAACTGGGGGGTTCCAGACTTTTGCCTAACCCTGTATATTTACCGTCTTGTTAGTAGTAACAATATAAGCGTAAATATGTTTTAAGTGTTATAAGTCATTTCTTTTATTTACTTACCGTAAACTTAATCAGGCACGGCCCTAGGGACTTTGCCGCCCTGGGCGAGATTGGTGACCGCCGCCCCCCGTGGGGTCTGGGGGGTATGGAATTCCCCTCAGCACATAAGGGAGGTTCCTGGGGTCCTCCCCCAGAAAATTTGAGAAAAAATAACTTCTCTAAACACTATTTTTAAGCGTTTAGGAAGTGAAATCTGGTGTTAATACTTAATACAATTTTATGCAATTTTGTACTTATGAAATTAAACTTTGTGCTTTAATTGCATGTGGACTAGTTTTTATTACATTTATTTTTTAAGTTCTTATGCTAGGCTTTTTGTTATATGATAACATTTGACGTTATGTTTCTCTATCCTTTAACACTGAATATTTTGATTAATATGTTAACAGGACTTGGCCTATTTATCAAATTTTATTTGAAAGGCGAGTAATTAAATCACTTAAATTCGTTGTTCCATTGCCACACCAGCTAACGCCATCAAATTTTTCTTTTCGGGGCGAAAAACCCGATCAGTTTACTTTGTTTCAACATAAAATAACTCTCATGAGACACCACGGAATACGAAAATCATAAAAACACACTGGCACAATAATTAACACCAGACGACAGATCAAGCGTAGTGTGGGTGACGGGGTAGAGGAGGAGGGTGTCGATGGGCGGTTGAACGCGGAACGTCCTGTGACTCACGTCTGTTTGGCGCGCAAATATCCCACCCCACCACTGCTACCGGCTACTGGCATGTAGTTTATCTGTTACCATTTATTCATCAATAATGAAAGTATACGTACAAACAAACAAGCTTAGTACAATAGGCATGACATTTGATTAACTATTTTATTGCTCACGTTAAAACGATTAATTTCAGGTAGGTGTAAAAGGTAAAGTGGTGGTGGTAGAGGGAGGGGCGGATAGGCTGTTGACCTTCCGTGACTTGTGTCTGTACTCTGTTTCGCGCGCAAAAACCATACTACTTTCACTGGCATTGCAGTTTATTTACGATTTATTGATATTGAAAGTATACTTTCGAAAAACAAGCTTAATACAATAAAGAAAATTAAAAAGGTTCACTATTTCATTACATACGTTTAAACATTATTTTTTAAATGTTATTACAATTTTTTACCCATTATCGGTTGAAGGGGGGATATATCCCCCTGATCCCCCCCCCCCGTATCTACGTCACAGTCCCGTCTAATTGTTTACTCCTGGGCTCCACCCCTTCCTTGAGCGATCGCCGAATTATGGTGTCTCCCTGAACTCTGACTTAATTATGTACTAAGGGTTCTAAGTGTAAATTGCACATTTTAAAATTATTTTCATTTCATAGGCTGGTTTTTGTTTACAGTTGCAGATATCAATTATTTTTTGGTTTTTGTTTAAAATCTGACCTAAGAGTCGGCAGGACTTTCGACCATCTTGGATATCCCCCAAAACGGCAATGTTATTAATTGTTGAAGCAAATTACGACATTGTTTATTAAGATAAAAAGTAATAAAATATCTCATTTTTGCAACTCCTCTCTCTCGGAGGGAAGGGAAGCCCATTCTACCAAAATAATCAATAATAAAGTAAACACAACTTCGTGGGAGGGGGCAGAGAGAGAGAGAGAGGAATACGTCGAGGTCAATCCCAACCGCTGCAATGTTGCTTTGACGCTGTCACTCGTCCTGGGTAACGTCGTAACGTGGTAGCGACGGTTGTTCGATACACAAGCCAAGTGGTTTGTTTTTTATATTTGGGCTTAAATTATAATTTTAAATCGATGTTTGAATTGCCGTTTATATTCTTAGGCTTGTTCTTTGTGTAAAATGTAATATAGATAATTGTACTCTTCACATTCACTTAATGAATTTATTATTTTATTCGTATTAAAAATTTACTGTTCTCTAAAATTTTTTTGTTGCCCTGGCTGTGCCGCCCCAGTTCCACTGCCCCGGCTTCCCGGCCACGGATCCGCCGCGGCCACCCCGGCTCCGCTGCCCCGGCCCCACCGCCCCGGCCCCGCCGCCCTGGGCGACCGCCCGGTCCGCCCACCCCTGGGGCCGGCCCTGAACTTAATAACACGTACAATGCTGATCAAGAAGTTATTTATTTTACTTCAAGTAAACCCCTTTAGACCAATTGAATTGTAAAAGCATTTCAAAGTTACATGACATTATTATTGTTTGGCTAAAGACCACATTATACTGCATCTAAAAACAAAAAAGTCTCTTTACATAAAATAGCGGAAAAAAGGAAACCATTTTGGAAGCTACCTACTTAAAAAAGGTTAACAATGTACAAGATCTATGCTACTGGGACTGAGATGACTCGAGTGGAATATTTGAATAGTAAAAAGACAGAGTGTTGAGATAAAAGTAAACTGTGTTGTATTAAATCAGAATAGAAAGTAAACATCATTGAATAATAATCATAACAGGTTGCTAGGGAGACAATTAGCTTCATGCATCTAAATATATAAAAGGCAAAGCCCTCACTGACTCACTGACTCATCACTAACTCTCCCACTTCCCATTTACCTAGGAGGCTGAAATTCGGTACACCAATTCTTTGGGCATTAAATAGGAAAACTAAATAGTTTTTATTCTGATCGGGCTTTCGGGCTCCGCCCCAGTGGCTCTGGAGTTTCCCATGTTAACCTTATGATTTTTCATATTTAAAAGGAATTAATGAATCTTAACAGCTGTTTCAATTAAACAAGTTGGTTCTGTTCTATGATGTTCAATAGCATCAAAGTTACAAGGATTACCAACAGGGTGCAGCACTATTATTTATTTTTAATTTATGGCAACAGCTAATTTGCAACCAAAATGTGAGTGAGCGTAGGGAACGAACTTCAACCTGGAGGCGAGTTAGCATAGCGAACGAGCTAACCTGAAGGCAAGTGAGCGCAGCGAACTAGCTCCAATCAAAAGGTGAGTGAGCGTAGCGAACGAACTTCATTTAGGACATGATTGAGCCATGCAAATACTTATGAAGTTAAATGGGGTAAAGCCCGCGGGTACGCTAGTCTTCTATATATATATAAAATCCAATGTAGCCTATGTTTGTCCTTTATGGGCTCCGAAACCGCTTGACAGATTGTAATGAAACTTTCAGGCATTATTAAGCATTATATTCAAGGATGGTTTGTGTGAAGTTTGGTGCAGATCCGTGAAAAGGGCTCCGCTCCGCCCCAGTGGCTCTGGAGTTTCCTATGTTAACCTTATGAGTTCTCATATTTAAATGGAATTAAAGAATCTTAACAGCTGGTTCAACAAAACAATTTGATTCTGTGATGTTCAATAGCATTAAAAAGTTAATAGCTTTACCAGCAGGGTGCAGCACTATTATTTTTTTTAATTTATGACAACAGCTAATTTGCAACCAAAAGGTGAGTGAGCGTAGCGAACAAACTTCAACCTGGAGGCGAGTTAGCGTAGCAAACGAGCTAACGTGAAGGCAAGTGAGCGCAGCTCCAACCTAAAGGTGAGTAAGCGTAGCAAACGAACTTCAACCAGGATGTGATTGAGCCATGCGAACAAGCTCATCTTGAAAATGAACGAGCATTGACATAAAACCACATTAGTACAGGACAACGTCTGTCGGGCCAGCTAGAATGT